ACACTGATGTTCTTTCTTTAAAGCCGTAAAGGGGCAAAAAAGAATTTGTTCAGAGACACTGGATTGTTGCCTAAATGGAACATAAAGATGTCAGCAGATATACTTAGCTATAATGATCAGAAATGTGTGGGTGCCACAAAGGCAGGCATTTGCAATGTGCTGAAAAACACCCAAAATAATGATACACACTTTCCTACCTGGGACTTCCACATTCACCTCTGCCCTGTGGACTTGGGTGTATCATAACAATACTCCTGTTATTAAAGCATCTATAATGATACCATTTGGTCTCAGACAGCTCTCAAGTCACCCCTTCCTCAGCAGATGTGGGCCTGGCTAAGCTAACCCTATTTTATAAAAGGAAACATTATGAGGGTAAGCCACAAATCTCTGGAGTGTAACACTAATTCCATGATATCCTCAGTCTTAGGTGTATGTGTTCACTCCGAGGCAGGAGGACTTGTCATCATTGTGGTCTTTCTAGACTTCTGATGAATTTCATGCTTTGCCTTTTAGCTGAACGAACCAAGGACATAAATTTGAAGTATCTGAAAGCTGTTTGTCAAAAGATACCTCAAGTCACAGGACCTATGGTGATGACATTTCTGTCCTCAGCAGACTGATTGTGTTGTTTACTCCTGATATATTCACTATGGGTCAAGGATAATGTGATTCTTAACCTTCAAATGCTTATTTCTTCCTTTCTTTTTTTTTTGGTAGTGGGGTTTGAACTTGGGATCTTGCGCTTGTGAGGCAGGTGACAGAACCACTGAGCTAAATCCTCAGCCCAAGTGCTTATTTCTTAAAAATCACACAGACACACACACACACACACACACGCACACACACACGCTTTTCCTCTTGATTGTAAGCTGAAAAATATCGGACATGCATTGCACTTCACAGTTTATTAAAAAGTTTTGATGTCTACTCTTAATCCTTCCTCAGTTACATGCTAACGTGATGTTTTTACAATTTAATAAATGAGGAAAATACAACTTAATGGTAGCACTGATATAATTGTTTCTCTATTTGTTTTTACTTAGCTGCCTCATTTTGAAATTGTTTTGAGATTTCTAAAATTGCATAAATTGAATACATTAGTCTTTTTAAAAATTAATGTAGAGTGAAACCAGAGGCATAAAGTAGGGCAAAAGTTTGCATGTGGATATGACTGCTATAGAGTCCTGTCCAGTTCCCAGCATTAAGAGGTAAATGGGATCTGAGCTTTCTGGAAACCTCAATAAAAATGAAAAGAAATCACTTACAAAATCAGTCTTCAATGAGCATTCACTTTAGAAAGTGCCCAGACCCCACCCGATACTAACTAAGCAGCATCCCTGGGTGAGGGACTCAGATCAGCATGTGACACCAAGTGATCCTTGTATATAGCTAAGATTGAAAAGCAGTGGCAGGGAATATAAAGACCCTCGGGGAGCAGCATCCTTGGGTGGAGCTGGACGAAACTCCAAGAGCCAGGTGTATGTCGGTGTGTCTTCATTGTCCGCCTCTGTGGAATATATGTGTCTGGTGCTTCCAGCTTAGCTTCTGACATTTCCCAGGGATGGGAGCAAGGGAGAGGTGAAGGTTCTAGAAGTTGAAACTTAGATGAATTGGGCATTACTCCCACAGCCGGAACACTTGAGTAGAGGGAAAAGTAAGCCAGTAGCCATGGAGTAGAAAATGATCACAGGGAAACAGCCTCAGTAAACTGGGAGCCAGTGGGAGGCGGACTCAGATTTTACCACCCCCATTGGTCCTTGGTGCTGTCTGAAGAAACCAGGAACAGGTTTATTTTATGTTTCCCTGCCTCCCATCTTTTTATGATTCATGATTACTAGAGGCAGGTGAGGATACAACCCTTCCTGATAGATTGGGCATTCATAAAACTTATAGAGAAAATAGTACCTAAGAAATGGCTTGCAGACCTGCCTTTTCACTTACCTAATGCCAAGAAAGATCTGTCTCACTCAGGTTATCAAGGGGATGATATTGGCCTCAAGAAAAAGCCATAAAGCTGAGAACTTTTGGAAGATCACAGCAAGTTATTATTTTTCTAATTGCACCAAGAATTCCTATGAAATAATGTGTCAGTAGTGAATGTTTCCACAAGTACTAATATTGAAAGCTTATAGTCACTGAATGTTTTGCAGTTTTTCAAGTACTCGTGTAGGCAAGTTTAAATTGGATCTCTCAACTTCACAAGTGTATGCAGGGAAAGCAGAGCACTGGATTTTCCACTCATTAGACAAGAAGGAAATTTCCAATACCCAAGGCTGCCTGAGGATCAGAATCACCTGAAGCATTTGCAAAATATTAAGGTCCCTGCATGTCTGCGCCAGAAATGCTGGCTCCCGGTGTCTTGTTTTTTTCCTTTTGTTAAAATAATTGTTCCAGGCTTTCCTTATCCGTAGGCAAAGTTGAGAGACTATACTTGAAAGGAAACTCAGATAATGAGCTCAGAGGGAGTAAGAGTCATGAGAAAACTTTCTGTAGGTTTGAACTTTGAAATGTCTTGGTTTAAATTTTACCAGTAACTCCGAGCAGATATCTTAAACTTCCTTTGACTCTAAATGCCATGAAAGGGGAATAGTCTTATTGTCAGTGTTAAGATCACAAAAGACAATGAATATACATTTCCTTGTGACTATTTAATAGAGTGCCAAGGACACAATAACTCCTTGATACGTGTAGTAATTATTAGTGATGACCAAGTTGCTACATTGGGATTCATAGCTTTGAATAAAAAATCTGAATCCTGTTACATACCGGAAGAGTGGTTCTCAACTGAGGGCAACTTTGCTTCTATGGGACTTTTGCCTAGAGGACACTTTTGATTGTCATGATTAGCATAATGTTACAGAGGCCAGGGACTCTGCTAAACCTCCTATAATGCACAGAACAGCCTTCACCACAAAGAGTTGTGCAGCCCAAATGTTAATAGTGCTGTTGTTGAGAAACCTTCTCCCAAGTACTCTATGACAGGAGCAAAAAGTCTTTGAATGGAAGGATAAACACATTGACTCATTGGCATACCCACCATTGAGGCAGGTCAGGGAGGGACCCAGAGGCATTTCCGATGGAACAGGCAGGACTCTGGACCACAAGGTCAGAGACATGGGTTTGCATCCTGGGTGTGCCCCCTCAAGGCTGACTTGTGGTCTCCCCAGCTTTCTGAAAGATATATGGTGAACTGTACCTGCTGGCTTGTAAGATAAGGTGGCCTTGGCCCTGACTGATATCATCCTTGGTAAGTCTTTCATCTTTTAGTTTCCAAAACACCATGTTAGACTAATTAATAAGTTCCTGGCGAACATGTTAAAATGCAAAGCTCTTGTTCCATTCTGCTTCAGTGTCTGAAGGAGGACTGTGGAAGCCATAAATTAAACAAATCATCTCTGAGGAATCTCAAGCCCAGGTCCAGCCAAATTAGACCCTGAAGATCTCTTTAACTCTGTCATTCAGGGCAGCTATGAGATCTGGGAAATATACACACAACTAATATCCTGCCTGACACAGCTTGTAGCTCTCTCTCATCTCACAAGAATTAACACCTTTTACAGGTGTGAGGTGATTGGATTAATTTTGTGTTTTTTATTTTCATTACTCCTAATAACACCACCACTGATGCCAAGAATAGTAATAATAATAACAATAACAGTATCAAGGTGGGTACCATGTTCGAGATGAAAATGAAATAGTCTCAAGCAGCACCCAGTGTATGTCTCCTCTTTTCAGAGGGACTCTGGGGCAGGGAGAGCTCAGGGTACACTGGCTCACCTCTGGCCCCAAGTGCCTGCCTCCTGGGATGCTGATCCACCAGTGGATCATCATACGACCTTCGCCAGTGACTGTGGCCACAGCATTTTCTCCATTAGTGCTAATGCCACTCACATCAGGGCTCTGCTGTAACACACACTTTACTGAAAGTTTGGGATGCTTAAGGGACTTGTAACAGATAACATTGACTCGTGTGTGGTCTTAAGAATTCCTGTAGTTCTGCTAGCTCACATTGCAAATATCTGCCAGGATGTTGGATTCTGGCTTCCAGACTTCTTACTCTAGCTGGCAAAAGGAGTGAGTGAGTGAATGACTGATGTGTACATGTGTGTCTGTCTATTTATATATAAATATACATGGACTATATGTGTGTATACATAACCCGTATGCAAAGAGATACATACACATGTATAAAGTGTAAATGCTCAGAACAATGCAGTATTTCCTTTGTCCCTTTGTTCTGCTCTCTCCTTATTGGTTCCACCCTGGAGACTGTCTTTTCATTCCATCACGACCCATTAAACTGTTTATGTGAACAAGGTTAATCCCCTTCTTGCTAAGAATTCATTGCTAGCTATTGGGAAACACAAAAGACCTTACTAACATGCTTGTATAGTCCCCCACACCTCCTGAGTGCTCTAACACACCTTGATTTCTTCGATGTAATTGCTCTTTCCCTCATTTTTCAGATGAACACCCACTGACCCTCAGCAAGATCCGATTAATGACTTAGGTCCAATAGCAAGAAAAGTCTACAGCAGTAAAGCAGGGACCAAACTTCTGAGTCCTTGATTCTAAAATAGCACTTTACCTTTCTTAGCTACCGTAGTTGTTCTCTTCCTTGACTATATAACAGAATCAACCAAAGGCTTTAAAAATACAGATGCCTGGGCTGCTTTTTAATATACTGCAAGCCAGATCTTTAGGGATGACACCCAGGGAACTGCATATTTAGAAAGCTTCCTTGGTGATGCCAAGGTACAGGCTGTCCCCCCAAATGCTAACCAGCCAGTCAAAGGAACTGAGCACAATCACACAAGTATGGAAATCTGGACTTCTGGCTTTTCTGGAATATAGGCCAGTGTTGTAACCTCACCTATTCTTCTAAAGGTTATTTTCAGACCGAAACTTTTGGATCATTTGATATTTCAGAGAAACATTTATCTACTGAACAAGTTTATGCACAGTTATAATTTTGCTTATCATTTTCTTCTTCACAGGTACAAAGAAGCGTTCTCATGGCTCCCCAGCCCCCAGCACTAGCTCCACAAGTCGCCTTACCTTGCCAGGTGGGTAAATACCTTTATAGCTAAATCTTACTGACCAGAGAAAGTAGAAAAGATAGGTTTCTCAATAGTTGAGTGTAGCAGTTGATAAGCTGAGAATCTCACACTTTGTCGATCCAACGTACTTCATGTGTTCAGATATCTTTGTCATTTGTATTTGTGAGTTTCCCCCAGAAATGGTTATATTTCCATAGTGGGTGCATAGTCCCTTCTGTTCACTGGTGAGAAAGACCAGAATCTTGCTCTTTCCTTATATTTATGTGGACAAGATATTGAGTCTTTGGTGAAAAAGAGAGAGAAACTTGGGTTCAAATTCCACTTTTGCTAAATGGAAATTTTGCAAGCACTTGTCTGTTCACTTTCTTGGAGCATTGGTGTTCTCACCTGCCTCATCCATCTGATACAGATTAGAAATAATGCTTGTGATTTAGCACAGTACTAATCCAGAGTTAATGATATAGCTGATTTCTTCTGTTGAATAATATAGACGTGTAGATTATCTAAATCCCTTCTAGTGTGTACCAGGGAGCATTTCAATATTCACATGATCGCTTGTAGTTACTACTTGATAGAAGGTGTAACTTATTTGTCATTCTATGTCCCTGACTAAGGTTACATTTTCCACTATGATTTAACTTGGAAAAAAAATCTTGTTGGGGGAAAGGAGAAGTTATAAAAGGTAAACATGATCTTTGTAAAAATGGTTTTAAACAGTTCAAAATTATAGGAGGGAAATGTTGCCAATCATGCTATACCTCACAGTTAACCTAGATAATCTAACCTTCTAGTCTTTATTAAATATTTTTCCAAGGTTCAAATTATAATTTATGTAGAATATTTCCCTTCCTTTTGATATTTGCCCTTACATTAGAAGACGTTTTCCCAAATCCAACAATATGCTGTATATATACAAGAAATGCACCTAGTTCAAAAAGAAACTCATAGACTAAAAGTAAAAGGATGAAAAACAGTTCTCCATGTGACAGGAACCCAGAAAAAAGCAGGGGTAGCTACTTTATATGCAGACAAAGTAAATTTCAAACAAAAAATAATTAAGAGAGACAAAGAATGTCACTACATCCTTGTAAAGGGAACAATCCAAGAGGAAGAGATGACAATCATAAATATGTATGTACCAAATATTAATGCCCCCAACTATATAAAACAAATACTAAGGGACATGAAAAACCAAATAAGCACTAATATAGTTGTAGTGGGGGACCTCAATACCCCACTGTCATAGAAGATGTTTTCCCATCTTGGTAAATTAACAAATATTTAAATAATTGGCCAATATTTCTTAAATACACTATGCTTTATTTATTTAGATGTTCATAGATAATTTGGCATTTATGTAGCTCGCATTTTTATTATCACGGGTAATGTTACATCTTTGTATGTAAATCTTGAGTCTTTATGGATCAGGCCAAATTCCTGTTAGCAGGATTACAGGTTCAAGAATGTGTACACATGTAAGTTCTTGACACAGTATTGTTTTAAAAAATCTTCTAAAAGGTTATTAATTTACACTTTCTGGATGAATTTTCATATTTAATTATCCCTTCACTGATGCTGAACAGTATTTTTATACTTTGCCACTCTGATGAGAAAAATGACATCGATGGTGTACCTTTACCTTTTAAAAATAAAATTTCTTTCCTAATGTTAATTCATTTTTTAGATTCCTTGTTTTGGAAATTATAAGATTTTGTCCATTTTTAGAGGCAAAATACTTTGTATTTTATCCCTTCTGAAGTAAGTGTGTTTTGCAATCCATACTGTGATAATTTAATTAGCAAAAATATTTTCTTGCTTGTATATGAAATAATAGTTCACTTTACAATTAGTAGTGATAAAATATTAGAGTGATAAAATATAATGTATATCTGCTTGCTTTTTCAACTTCAATTTCTACAGCTTCTTTACCCCAGTTGAACAACTGAATTTACTCAGTATCTGCTCTGTAGCCTCTGAATTTTCTTGCCTCTGTGACTGCCTGAAACTAATTTCCCTTATCATCTCTTGGTTAATTTCTCTTTGCACTCCTCGCCAAATCATCTAAGTGGAATTAATACTGCATTACAGTGATTTGCATAAATGTACCTTCACCCTTACGAGGTGGCTTTTCCTATAGGGGAAGCAGTCTCATTCCTTTCTGACTCCTGTGCTGCCAAGGAGACAGGTATATAACAACAGATACTCTCGTGTTTATGATGCTGGACTCATGAGTGTGTGGGTTTATGACTACATAGAAAGGGCCCACTTCTAAGGAAAGACTCATTTTAAAGTTTGTATTTGCCTCAAATATACTAACTTGCATTTTAGAAGCTGCTGTCATCATGTCCCTACTGTGGTAATTGTACTCTTCTGACTTTAGAGCATTAGGAGATTAATTTATACCAAGCAACTCTAGTGTGAAGCAATTATGTCTTCTCCCTGTAAAGTCGTCTCCTTCATAGGTCAGGTGAGACATCTGAATGTAGATGATCCTGGTCATCTACATGGATATGCAGCTGATACGGTCCCCACATGCTCTGTCGGACTGTCTCAGGGCTTTGTCTTAAGCTTTAGTTTGGCAATCTAAACTGGACTAAATTGGTATCATCGGCTCCAAGTTCTGACCATCCCCATCATGCCAATAGGTTTTGATGGGTAGTTTTCCAAACACAAGCGATCCTAACTGTACTTTGTCTAGTAGATACCTTCCACCTCACTTATGACAGTGGCCAGATCTCTACTCCCTACCTCAGAAGCTACAGACATTGCTTCCCTTTCACTCAGATGCCTCAATGGCCCCTCCCCAGGCCTGGCTAGCACCTGTTCACAATTCCATCTTGAGGACCATTCATTGATATCTCAGCTATATAAGAGACAATTCCTAACTACCTCCTATAAATTGCAGCTTTTAAAAACCTTTGCTTATACAGTCACTTGAATGGACCTTTTGGGAATTTAGTGTTGATTTCTTCAGTGCCATCTACATGTCAGATCCCCTGTAATCAAACCATTTGGCTTCCAGCTAAACAATCCAGTCATTAAGATGCGAAAACATCTATTGTGAATTCTGGTCGTGATGGCCATTCTTTGACCACCCGACTGAAGTTCATTCTTTGACCACCTGCCTGTCTTGCAAACCTGTGTAAGGATGGGAAAGACAGAGAAATAAACTTTAAAAAATTTTCTCAATGTCCCATTTTAGAGACAAACAGCTCCGGGGATCAAAAACAAAATGTGACTGAATCCACAGCAATGAAGTCAAGGGACATAAGTGCTCTGCTTCCTAAGTGGAGTGTCAGGCACGAGCAAAAGAGACTTAAAATGCTCAGGGACACAGTCTAAGTCAGGGAATGGATAGGCTGCTGGTGAGTTGCTGGAGTTACAGCTTATTATGAAGGAAGTTGTTGGCCCAGAGAACTGAAAGGACAGTGATTTGACTTTGAAATTGGATCTTCTCTATTCCCAATGTGATTGTGTGGCATTATTCAAAAGTGTCATTGTAAGTCCTGGCTTAGATGTAGAAACTTAAGGTACTAGGTGAAAACACAGGCTAGGGTGAGAGTGGCGAGGCCAAGAGAAAACACACAATATCCCAATTTCACATACAACTAAAGAAATGATAGATAAATTGGATATCATCAAAACTAAAACTCCTGTTTATCAAAAGATGCTGCCAACAAAGAGAAAAGGCAACCAAAGAATGGGAGAAAATATTTGCAAATAATATATCTGATTAAGGGTTAATATCTAAACCAACAACAACAAACCCAACTCAAAAGTAGACAACGGACTAGAATACTTACTTCTCCAAAAAGGATTTGAAAGTAGCCAATAATGTAACAAGATACCTAAAATAAGTTAGGGAAATGCAAATCAAAAGTAAAATGAGGTCCTACTTCAAATGCAGTAGGACAGCTAAAATAAAAAGGTGGATAATAACAAGTGTTGGTAAGGCTGTGGAGAAATTAGGAATTTTACACATTGTTAAGTGGTAATATAACCAATTTTGAAAATTTGCCAGCTCCTTAAAAACTTAAATACAGAATGATCATATGGACCAGCACTTTTATTTGCAGGTATGTACCTAAGAGAACTGAAAATGTATGTACACAAAAATGTTGCAAGTGTCCACTGCAGCATTATTCATAATAGCCCAAACATAGAAATGACCTAAATTTGGGCAGGGGATTTAGCTCAGTGGTGCCCTTACCTGCCTTGCAAGTGCAAGATGCCAAGTTCGATCCCCAGTACCAAAAAAAAAAAAAAAAGAAAGAAATGACCTAAATTTTTATCAAAGAATGAATCTATCCTAAATGAATGAAACACTGATGCATTCTACAACATGGACAAACCTTGAAAACATTTTGATGAGCACAGGAAGCGAGATTAAAGAAAAGCCATGTGTCAAATGAATCCACTTGTATAAAATATCCAGAGTAGGCTAATTCATAGAGACAGAAAGTTGATTGATGATTATTAAAGCCTGGGGAAAGAGGACTAGGGTATGTGAGTTCTCAAAGGTATGGGATTTCTTTTGAAGGTGATGAAAATGCTCTGGAACTGAATAGTGACAAAGGCTGCACAACTTGGGGAATAGACTGAAACCCCCTCAGTGTTATACTTCAGAAAGATCACTTTTGCGGTATATGAATTAAAACTCAAATAATGAAAGATCATTGAAGACAAATGACTCTACATCTCTCAGGAATTCTAGTAGGAGAGGGAGAAAGTAGTGGGAAAACAATACGTCAGCAACCAGCTGATATTTTTCCAAAAGTAAGAAAAGTTCATATTTTTAGATGGAAGAATGAACCTCAGTTTCCATACCTAAATAAAAACAAATACATACATCAAGAAATTGCTGGTGATTAGGATATTTCCCAAAATTACATCAAGGGTAAATAAATCTTCCATACTGAAAGAAACTGGTTATGGTCAGAGAAGTTGCAAGTACTCAACTGGTAATCAGCTGACAGCAAAATTTGAATTGACAAGAGTAGACATCA